AAGGCTCCACGGAAACGACACCACCAGTGGGAGCTTAAAGTCGGAAATTGGAACATATCCTCACTCAGAAAACAAGAGTCTACATTTATATTTGCCAAACATTTGTTTTGGCTTTAAAAACATGATTGCTGGTGTAGAAAGGAGACCGTAAGTTTGTTTCACTAAATCAAACTAGTGCCTGACTTCTTGGATATTAACTCTGTTGCAGTTGAATGATTGAGCGACATTTTTGATACCATTCTCTTTATGACGCTTATTGTGCAGTATTAAGTTCGTTTCTGTGCGATAACTGGGAGAGCGGTGTACTTTTTTCTGCAGCTTGGTGATCGCTTTACCTCTAATGCCCTGTTTTCTTCCCATGAGGTAATTACCTCGGAATGAAGCAAGGCAAAAGACTCGATTGATGCTCGAGTCAAAGATTTTTGTGTTTTCGAGTTCTGTGTCTGACATTCCGCCCACTGAACAATTCTGTCCAGGGAAAGAGCGGTTCCACAAAGGATATTTGTCTTGTAATTAAGTGGGTAAAACTTTGTAGGAAAAGAAACAGGAGTCTGCAGGGTTCATTTCAAAATAGTTTTATATGTCGTTTAAAAATAAGGCTGATAGAAATATTCGCGGTTGAAATTAGTCGCGGTTGCCATCTTGGAGTTGCAAGAAAGATCTACCTCCCACTGGCCAAAAAAGCTATAAGCGAAACCAACGCTTTAATAATTCCAGACAAGGAGTGTAATCACCTATCAAACTTTATCGAAACTGCCGACGTCTCAGTTAACTGTCCGTTTTTACGGGAAACTCGTTTTTCACTATTTGTCCTTAGGGTAGCACAGTTTAAATGTGTATTTTACCATGCCTCTTCCTTGTTGCTAAAACCGTGCAGCGTCGATTTTACTGGAAGAAAAGATGATAGAAATGTGCTTATGATATCATTGCTAGACGTTCTTTTTCATATTTCGGCTTCAGCAGAGTAGGCAGTAAATGAGTGATGTCCTCTATGAAACAAAGGGATGATGCG